CTCCATTACCAATCCACAAATAAAACCTATTATTTAAATAATTTCGTATTGCTCTGGTTGTATGCGGAGGCGCTCCGTCTTGGTGCCAAATTAAATTGGTATTACAATCAGCGGCAGGTCTTTCAATTTGTTTTCTATTTGATTTTCAAGAAATTGCAGGTCAAATGCTCCAGTCAAAGCACCTTCATAAAATAGTGGGCCAATGATTTTATTTCTCAAAATAACGCACCAAACATTAAACGATGTGCGTCCTTGACTTGGAATTTCCCTATTGCAGTGAGTATTTTCATTTGCCCAGGTATGAGTATTTTTTCTATTAGGTATAAATATCAGCTGTTGTAAAAGTTGCCTCATCAGTCCAAAAAATCTTTTCAAAATAGTTTAGGTAGCCATTTTTCAAGTGCAGCGTTTCTCTGCAGTACTCTAACCGCTGAATTTTTTGATTTTGGATGAGTTTATGGACCGGCTTAGTTTTATAGGGGCGATATTTACATTTATGTAACGTTCTAAAGCAACTCTGAAAGAGGGGGCCACTTGGTAAAAAGAAAAAATACGACTCCCCTAAGTTTGTCTTAAGAATGTATGACCAAATTTTGTTGCATTAATTCGGCACACCCTGTATATGTTTTTTACTCGATTTTAATTCAAACAAATTTAAAAGTCAACTACTCTATCAAACTAGCATTGAATTATACCCCTAACAACCTGTAAACATCTAGTGAGCAATAAACAATTTATTATCCAAAGTAAAAACTAAAAATGATATTTCTGAATATGATGATATTTCTGAATATAATTAATTTAAAAATATATACCCGATACATTGAAATTGTTAAATAATGTAATCATTCCGTAGTAGTATTTTGTAATTTGATGTTCTCTCACTCCCTTTGAAAGATGAACACGTAAAAAATAATTGCCACAGAGATTTTTTTGTTTTCACATTTTACTTAGGGTAGTAGATGCGTGTAAAAATTTAAACGTACAAAAAAGTTACCGAAGAATACTCACAAAGGGTTGTAGTAAAATTGACGCCATGTACGATTTAACCTAATAGGAACATAATCACTGCATAGTTCATGAAGAGAAACTAAGTAACAGAAAAATTTGCTCAAATCGGTTAACTGGGTTCAGGGTTAAGGAGAAAATAAGAAATAAAAAAGAAACTTTAACACCCTGTAACTTTTTTGCGATATTTTTCGTTAAAACAAATTTGGTTAAATAGACACAATTTGAGTTCTAGATTATACCCTTGAAGTATGTAACATTCGTTTGGTCAAAACCTGTAAATAAACATTAAACTTTCAGAAAAAATGACATTTTGTAGCCTATACAAGGTGTTTCAGTTCGAGTGAATCAAACTTTAACCACAAATAGAACTCAATAAATAATTCAGAATTGCCTTATAAAACAAGAGTCTAAGTCTCACCGTTTTCACTGTACAGGGCCGTATTGGTTAGTTTTTAAAATTATATTATTTATGAAATATTTGCTTTTCTTATAACAAATTGATTCAAATTTGATGTGGTGTTAACATTTACACATGTGTATAATTTACTGTAAAATTAACAAATTTTTGTAGGTTAGTGGCGTAGGAATGGATAGCAAAGCGAGATTTTTTACCCCAACTTCTACGCCAATGACCTAATAATCATTTGGGATTCATTTTTAGATTCCGTGGATAATTACATAAAGAAGGTATACTTGTTGAAAATGAAAATAATAATAATATTAATAATAATAATGATAATGATAATGATAATGATAATGATAATGATAATGATAATGATAATGAT